CATGACCGAATATGATAGGCGTCTAACAGCAAGAACGTAAAGTCTCCTTAAAATGCCTAAGATGGGCCTCAAACATATTACGAGCTCTTACAATATGAGATTTTAATAACATAAAAATCAAAAATAATTTGTGTTGAAAACATTGAAACTAGTCAAAATGAGAGCTATAATAAAATTTAAAGCTCTATGTTACGAGTTTACCTATTTTGTGTTTATTAAAATGACAGTTCAAATTCAAATCATCACATGAAATTCAGCTTTAAAAAGTTTACTATCTGGATAAGCATATTTGATAAATGTCTTTACAGGCCTACTACCTACGCTAAATGAATATTTAAACTTTGTAATATTAGATTTCAGCCTAACGTTACTCGATTCTCGCGGGTTACTCTCGATACTATTCCATCGACACTATCCAACCCCTCCAATCGAATAGAAGGGAATGAGATTAAAAATCAATTATCAGTGCATTAGGCACACCTAGGCAGAAGATCCCCACTGCGCGGTATGATTGCGATAGGCGCGCGCGCAGCGATCGGAAATAAGTGGTTTTGGAACGTAATTGGAATGTAAATGCTCTATTCTGAAGCTGTTAAAGGATATTGTTGTGTAGTATGGATGTTATTGTATTTTGTTAGGATTAAGTAAGAGTCAGTTTTGCTGGAAATATCTTCTTATTTATAAAAGCGAAAGGTCACTGATTGACTGACTACTCATCACGAAATTTCAGAAACTACAAGCGCTAGGAGNACCTACATAATACTATCCAAAAATTAAAATATTAATTTTAAAAGGATCTTTTATTGAGATAAAAAAAATACATGCTGAATCTGAATGGAAATTAAACTAGAAGCTATTTATTTTTCAAATGGACTGGCTGATTAACTGGTACTATAACTGTAGTTAAAACTGTCATTGTGATACGAGTTCGTATAGCATCGATGGTGTTTCGGGTAACTTTGTTTTGCTATACCTACTTGCATAGTTTTATTGTTTACTTTTACATGTAGATATTTAAATTATAGCATTTCTAAGGTAATAGAGCACATCATACATAAGAGTCAGAAGTAAGTAGGTATGTGCAGTATGCATATTCTTTAATTTAAGGTCAAACATAATTTATCCAACTTTATTTAGAATGTAAGTAACTATGATTCAATGAATATTAAGTAATAATAAACTGAAACTTAAAAAAATCAACTGCTAATTCAACCAATATAAAAAAAATAGTAATTTAAATAATTGATAAAACCTAACTACATATTTAGAACGCTAATCCTAGACGCAGACCACCGATTTTTCGTCGGCCCATAGTTTAGCCGGGCTCTTAATCAGTATGGGCATGTAAGGAAGTGCGCACATTACACCGATTTGATTTTGCCCGATTCTTCATACAAATTAAAATCGGGCCCAACTATCGACCAACTAAAAATCGGTGGTCTGCTGCGCCTAGGCTAAATGTTAAATGTTATTTGAATTTTTTTAGTGCCTTTCAACTTCTTCAACTACACCTTTACTCTACCATGCATAAGTGTGAATTGTCATACTGTAGAAGCTCACCCTATTTGCATTGCCTTACATTATATTACAAATACCATAATTGCATCAGAGAACCCTTAAAATGCAATAACTGAACATTTGAATGGAAACTCGATTTGTGTTCGGATAAGAAATTAAAATCGCAGACGCCATCTCCTTTTGCTAAATTTGAAATTTGTGAAATGGGAGCAGTGATGTGAAAACATCGATAAAAATCGATAAAATGCTAAGGTGACAATGGCAAAATGCATGACCGAATATGATAGGCGTCTAACAGCAAGAACGTAGAGTCTCCTTAAAATGCCTAAGATGGGCCTCAAACATATTACAAGATTTTACAATGTGAGATTTTAATAACATAAAAATCAAATAATTTGTGTTGAAAACTTTGAAGCTAGTTAAAATGGCAGCTACAATAAAATGTAAAGCTCTATGTTACGACTTTACCTAAGATGCAGTTTTTTTTTATTAAAGTGATAGTCCAAGTCCTAATCATCACGAGAAATTCAAATAAAATCAAATCAAATCATTTATTTTGCGAAAATGGGTTTACATCAGTAGGTGTTACAATTTTTTGAGTTTTTAAAAGCATACACATTAAAAGTGCATTTCAGGATAAGCAAGTTTGATCAATGTCTTTACAGGTCTCCTACGCTACATCTTCTATATAAATAAAAATGAATTGATGTTCGTTAGTCTGATTAAAACTCGAGAACGGCTGGGCCGATTGAGCTGATTTTGGTGTTAAAATGTTTGTCGTAGTCCAGGGTAGGTCTAAACGGTGAGCAAATAAGGAAAGATTTGCTTATTTATTGCCTTTAAGGCGGAACAGAGTTCGCCGGGTCAGCTATAGGTAATATAAACTTTGTAACATTCGATTTCAGCCCAACGTTAGGTACTCGATTTTCTCGAGTTCCTCTCGATACTATTCCATCGACACTATCCAACCCCTCCAATCGAATAGAAGGGAATGAGATTAAAAATCAATTATCAGTGCATTAGGCACAGCTAGGCAGAAGATCCCCACTGCGCGGTATGATTGCGATAGGCGCGCGCGCAGCGATCGGAAATAAGTGGTTTTGGAACGTAATTGGAATGTAAATGCTCTATTCTGAAACTGTTAAACGATATTGTTGTGTAGTATGGATGTTATTGTATTTTGTTAGGATTAATAAGAGTCAGTTTTGCTGGAAATATCTTCTTATTTATAAAAGCGAACGGTCACTGATTGACTGACTCACTCATCACGAAATCTCAGAAACTACAAGTGCTAGGAGNGCTAGGAGTCTCAAATTTTGCATGGCGGTTCCTTTAGAAAGTAGGTGCTCACTAACACGACATTTTGCAAAATTCAATCCGTAAGGGGGTAAAGGAAACCACGCTTACGAAGTCGCGGGCGGCCGCTAGTAATATACCTAATATAAATTGAGAAATAATGGAAAAAGGTAAAAAGAGAGTCCAAAGGCACGCCGTGACGCAACGAAGTCGCTGCAGTGTTAGGTTAGGTTATTTGACGATTTGTAAGTACTATTTATTAGTCTAAACAAATAAAGAAACTTTGACTTTGACTTAAATCCCAAAGTCTCCTTTACCTTTTATAATTTAAACAGTTATCTACGCAAATGTACCAGACACATGCATAGCAAGTCCGCGTTTAAGTTTTAACTTATATTTTCGCGTTACGCATAACAATACTTTATGAAGACAGACTTTAAATGAAAGTTTTCTAGCTAGAAACTTGAGTGACGGATACAGCAATAGCATTTTCAGACTAAATATTAAAATTTTAGAGTAAGCATATTAATGCACATTTCATTCTAATATAATTCTAACTTTAGTAGCTTCAACACACGGGTTCGCTCGTATATCTTTTGACCTAATATCTTTGTTGCATTTAATAAACTAATTCTCTCTACGCAGCATATTTTACAAACTCTACATTAACAAAAAAAATCTCAACCTACTTTTATGCTCAAAAGAGGCTTTTGGTTTACATTTTCACGGATTTCATATTTTCATGAAAAGCTATTTGAGCTCAAAAACAGACAAGGACGTTAATTAGTGAGTATGTAGTGGATTTATTATACAAAAATGCACTGAGATTTGTGCTGAAATCATAATATGATATCATTTGTTTTAAGGATTTTTATTCATAGTCTATGTGATAGTGGCGCAACATGAGTAACAAAATATAACACGAATAAGGTTGTAAGTTAACGAACGCCCGTATTCACAAACACTATGAGGCCTCACAGTACGCGTGACGCACAGGGTGACACACGAACCAATCACAGAGGTCTATTCAACGCTGTGCGTTCGATTTGCTGCTTCACTTAAGCAAGCATCGTTTGTGAATACGGGCGTAAGTGACACAAGTATAAGTTAACTGCTTTTCGCGATAAACTCAGAACTACTGAACGAATTTTCATGTAATTTTCATCAATAGATAGAGTGATTTATAATAAAGGTGTAGATAAACCTATAATTTGTCAAGGAGATTTTTATTTCGATTTCTGATATCTTTCTGTGACAGACCGATTCCCACGCGGGTAAAGCCGCGGGCAAAAGCCTAGTATTTCTTAAATTTCATAAGTAACAGGCATACATACAGACTCATAATAAAACTTTCACAATAAAATATTTTTCGGTCCCGTTAGAGACCACTAACAAAAGTTCGGTAGCTATTTTAATTGGCGTTCAAATTGGATTAAATTTCGCTCCAGTCACCAGACATTGACGTGGGTGCAGGTATTTAAAGGTTTTTCAAGTATCGTTTAGTTGGAATAGTAATGGAAAATAAAGTTAATCCGATGAAGTATTTTTTCATCTACCAACATAACTATTTATCGTGAATAGCAGATTTCGTATGTTAAGGTCAAGACATTTTTCAGTACTAAGAAATCTTGGGCTGCCTCATTTTTATTGTTGATGGAAACTAAGGCTTTATAAACTACAAGCGGCCGCCTGCGACTTCGTACGCGTGGATCCCGTTGTACCCCTTTAGAGGTGGAGTTTCGTAAAATCCGTTCTTAGTGACCCCCCATGCAAAATTTGGGACTCCTAGCACTTGTGTTTTCTGAGATTTCGTGATGAGTTTCATTACTTTTTATTTTGTAGTTCAAATTGTTCTCTTTAAACTTAAATTGCATGATATTTAAAAATACGTGTGCTGTGCCTACGATCTTCCAAAACATAACAATTCAGTTCATCCAGTTCTTTAACAAATCTACTCTGCCGCCAGATAGTTATACAATATCGAGTTTTTCTGACGCCACCATTTTATTGCCACCTCACTGCCATAGTGCGATGGACATCATCAAAACCCATAACATTAAAATTCAATTAGTTTGATTAAACGCAAAGTGCTTATCAGTCACGCGTGTGTAGAAACCAATCAAAACGGTTGATAACGTGTTGGTAATTAACAGATTATATCTCTCCTATTTATTTACAACAAAATTGCGATGGACACGTTTGTAAAAGTTGTGCATTGTTTTTTTGTGATCTGTTCTACTTTTGTACACACCGGTAAGTAATATAGGCGTTGTCAGCAGCTGTCATCATCATTTGAGCCATAGGACGTCCACTGCTGAACATAGGCTCCCCTAATGATTTCCACAATGGCCGGGTAGTATGGTAGCGGCCTGCATCCAGCGCCTTCTTACCTTTTAACTGAATGGAATAGGAAGGACGTGAGTTTGGTTACTCCAGCAAGGTTCTTTTTCCATCTATGGGTTTAGAAAGAATATTATATTGCCTAACGACTCAAGCTTAGCTCAATCAGATCAACTCCAAAATACCTAATAATATTCGTTATCGTCGTCGTCGTTTCAGCCGAAAGACGTCCACTGCTGGACAAAGGCCTCCCCCGAGGATTTCCACCATAGACCGATCCTGCGCCGCTCGCAATAATATTCCTTTTCTGACAATTAGTCCACTCATTTTGATCTTTTGCTTAATCAGATAAATTCAACTTTATTATGATCTATTTACAGTTCCCCCTGATGCATGTTTCGAGCCGTTCCGATTTGATGACTGCGGGAAAGACCCCGTCACCGTGATGTACTACTATAAACCAGGCTCCAGGTGTGAAAAGGCCGTGTGGAAAGGATGCCTTCCCAACGAAAACATGTTCCCAGACGAGTATACCTGCATCAGGACCTGCATATTCGCGGAAAGAAGAGGCCCCAATGACTACGTCGAGCTGAAGGGCGAGATCCTGGAAGAGGAGGATAGTACTGAGGAACCGGCTAATAACACTGCTACCGACTCTGACTTGAATTCGACTGACGTGAACGTTGGTAACGAGACAGTGAGTAACGACACTAGCTCAAACACTAACGATGCTAGTAGTAGTTCTGATCCTGATGCTAGTGCAACTCCTGATCCTAGTGCAACTCCTGATTATAGTTCTACAACTGATCAAGTCAAGTAAAGTAAACCGTTGGAAAATTCTCTGAATTATTAATAAACCATGAAGAATTTTTAGATTATTATAGATTTTACTTTTTAGTGTCCTGATTTGTATTTTTGAAATAGGTGCCTTAAATTGACTTGAGGGGAGGCAAAAACTCAAGCTAGCAAAGAGTTGTTGCTGTTACAACTGTGGTTAGTCAATCTAAAGTCAACTCTGCATGAGTTCTCGTTTGAAGCCATGATAGCCGAACGGTGAAGGGGTCGGACTGGCCGACTCGTGATCCGGGGAACTCGGGTTCGGTCCCCGCCGCCGCTCGAATATTGTGGTGAGCTCACTCGTGACACAAGCATATTTAGCTTAGTACGAGGGGCTAGCGGGAGTATTAATACAAATTACTAATTTTTTTTATAAAAAATATGTCAGAGCCGAAGGACGGAATCAGATTTTCCTCCCATAGCCCGAATGGGAACTAAAGCAAACTGATTTACTGCGTACTCGAGAATCTACCCAGGGTCTCCATTTATAGTTGAAATTAAACTATAAGACTATAAAGGTGGTGGAAATACTCGTAAGAGTCAAGAATAGTCCCATAGCGCACCTATTGTTTATATGTTTATTATGACCTGACTACCCAACTCCTTGCGGGCAAGACGATGACGGCGCACCATTCTTCACTTTCGGCAGCTGTCCTTATGATATATTGTTATTGTATCAGACCCAACTGACCGTTATATCTTGACCTCTAACTTTAAGCTGGTTTTCCCTTTAACGCAACAGTTTCAAGCGTGCAAGAGAGGCAGGAGAGGCCAGTCTATACTGGATTCTGGATACTGAATGTACGTTAGAAAAATGAGGATATACAGCTGGTTTGCGGGATTCCTAAGCGCTTTGGGAGCGATGACACTGTATTTGAAAAATGTTTTGTACATTTCATAAAGTAGATTAAACGTTAATAGTTAAAAAAAATAATTATACGAGTAAGTGTAGGTCTGTCCCATAAGACAATTTTCATAGAATGGGTGGGACTTTCATCTCCTATTTCGCCTCTCCAGATTTACCTACTTTATGTATTATTCATAGTCTAGATCGGAGACATTTATAACATCTCCTTTATGATATTTAACAGTGAGTGAAACGTAATCAGAATTGGTAGGTATTGTTATATTGTTTTTTTTTATTAAAAAATCAAATAGAGTAGCGAACAAAATAATCAATCATGGGTACCTTTTTTCAATTACAAAACTGGTCACGTAGAAAAAATGTGAATGAGACACTACATAAAAACATTAGGGACTCTTTGAGTCTATTTAATTTACTGCCTATACATGTCCCAATACATCGTAGCCGCTGTTATATACGAGGAAATTACATGGGCAAGTTCTGTCAGAATAAAATACTTAGAAAAAAAAAACATACAATGGAACATCTACAGGGTGTTAGGTAAATGGGTATATGAGCCGACACTAGCCCATGTTAACATGGGCATATAAATGGTATGGTGAAGTCAGAAAATTTATATCTTCATTTTAATTATTATCATACAAATCGGATTTTATCAAATTTATTTTGTGTGAAAATTAGAAAAAAATAAATTATGATATCAAACCCTGTATACAGGGTGTTGATTTCAATACTCGCCATATTTAGGGAGTTGATTAAGTAGCTTATTCTGATCACGAATCAGTAAAAAAATTGACTTCGAAAAAAATTTATAATGAACTTTACCTTTAGTAAGTCAAAGAAAAATACCTATTTACACTACCTACTTTATATGGCTTCCTTCAGTAGGCTATCCGACATGATAGTGAGCGATCTGCGTAGCTCGATGGTGCCGCAGTATAAACTATTACAGTATTGCAAGCCACAGACAGCTGATTTCACACGGAAAATATTCGGTAAAAAATTCACTTTCGTTTGTATTTTTTTTTGTGGATAATGCGTTTATATAAGTCATAATAGATCACCTAAATAAATATGGCGAGGATTGAAATCAACACCCTGTATGTTCCATTGTATGTTTTTTTTTTAAGTATAGGAGGTTCTATAACCTCATCCTAAAAACAAAGTCTGTTCGCTTAGATCCTTTAATTTACGCAACTGATTTTAGTGCAGTTTTCAGCAATAGATAGAAAGATTCAAGAAGAAGGTTTATAATTAGGTATGTTTAATACATTGCACGCGTGCGAAGCCGGGGCGGGTCGCTAGTATGTACTAAAATACTTAGGTTGGGTTGCATCATCTTAATTTAATTTTAACAAACGTCATAAATCTATCAAAATCCATAAAAAAAACACCGGTTATTTTAACACTTAGAGTTAAAGTAAAACGGTGCAACCCAGCCATAATTGTCAAACTAGCATTATGAAAACCTGCACCGTGAAGAACATTTTAAGTATATTATAAAACTCTTCATTAAAGGCGGTTGTCCCGCCTTCGCGTAATTTATTCATAAGTTTGAGCTGGAAAGTTCCCTCGTTACTGGGTGGCTTTCGTGTGATAAAATGAGTTACGAACAATAGGAATTGTGATAAAATTTAAAGTTGTCAAAGTGTTGTAGTGGGGAGCCGAAGATTTGAGTGACAAAAGAAAGGGTAATTGCGTCGCGAAAATGGATTCGCGCCCGTGCGTTGCTTTAAATGATTCCAATATTTAAATCACTAGCTTTCCATGAGAATTATTTTGTTTGCATAAGCATATTGTACATCAAGAGTTATAAATAACTTGAAAAAAAAAACGAACTGAAATATTTTTTCAAATCGAACCAGTAGTTCCTGAAATTAGTGAGTTCAAGCTACAAACAAACTCTTCAGCTTTATAATATTAGGTAGGATTTACGTTTGTTGTTAGACCAGTTTATTTCGTGGAACTACCATTAATTATACAAGTGAACAGTGAATAGAAGGGATTGATGAACTAGCAAAGAGCCAAGTCGAATGTTGCTAAACTAAAGCAAACGCAACTTGGGGCATCTCCGAGCTATACAGGGTGATTTTGCAAACAGTAAGTTGCCAATTTTTTTTAATAGGCTCTATACAACAATAACTACGAGTATGTATTTATCGTAATTATTTCTAATCGTGGTATTTATTGAAAACAAAATTGAAGATACAATTCGCGGGTTTTAACGGCTAACTTATTCACGCACCATTATGTCTATTAACCTTTGCTGTGTGTAAGTACGTATTTTTCTATGAACGAAGAAAATAGTTATCCACTTGTGCCTGTTTTTAAATTAATAAACAAGAAAAAAAAATATTATTTCGAAAATCGATAAAGTGTCTGATTCTGAATCGCTCCTAAAAAGGCAAGTGTTTACAAAATCACCCTGTATAGCTCTTGAGCTACGACTAGCATAGAGCTGGGCCAAGTTCGACGCAAGAATCCTAACTTGTCCAAACTGGATTCGGTTGTTTAATCAATACAACGTTGTTTTGGTATATTGAAGCTTGAGAAAATATTGATTTTAGAACATCAGTTAGTTAAGTAAAAATATTATTGAGACACTTCAGACATTAAAATAAAAAATATTTTTGTTAGTCAATCAAATAATTTTGATCCATTTTCTAGAGTTAGTTTCGGCGATTTTCAATGCTTTCGATGTTAGATACTTGTAAAATGGATGAATAAAACTTAGGTTATTAAATTACACTAATTGGTCCTATTCAAAATTCTTATTGAAAAACGATGATCAAAAGTCTATTCTATTTCAAGTACGTATGCAAAATGAAGGCTTTTCAATCACTCGACAAATCTGGAAACTTGACAAAACAAGGAGAACTAAATTGACTGACATAGCCGTTAAAATCGAGTGGCAGTGGGCGGGGCACATAGTAGAGACGATGGCCGTTGGGGCAGAAAAGTTCTCGAGTGGTGACCACGGGGCTGAAGACGTAGCGTAGGCCCCTCATTAGGTGGACCGACGATCTGGTGAAAGAACCTGGATGCGAGCAGAACCGGTCGTTGAGGAAATCTTTGGGGGAGGCCTTTGTCCAGCAGTGGACGTCATTTGGCTGAAACGATTTTCCTTCGCACGAATGTGCGAAACGTCCCCTTTCAGTAATATTTTTTTTTAGCAGGCGTTTCGCCCGGATTTATCAAAAAAACTAAAAACGGGTGCGAATCGACCCCTTTGAGAACTAGTAATCGCATACTACTAATTCAAAAAAGAGTTGATTCGCACGCGATTTGAATACTTCTAATAAATCCGGGCGAAACGCCTGCTAAAAAAAATATATTATTGAAAGGGGACGTTTCGCACATTCGTGCGAAGGAAAATCGTGCGAAACTACTACTAACCCGAATGAACGAACGAATAGAGTTGTTATGTAATACGGACCTAAAAGTAGTCCGTTTTTGAAGAAATTGTGACAAATACTTAGTCATACAGATACAGACTCATAGTTAAAAGGTCTATCAAAATAAAACCCTATAAGTAATGCAACCGTCCAAAACTTTGACAAATAACAGCACCTCATTAACGAATCCAAATGTTTAGGTACCGCTCCAAAATCGCAATGCAATTGAGAGCTCCGCGGAAGTTTCGAACTCGCTGCACGACTTATATTAATTCAACAAACCAAACTTCTTTGCCGTCTGTACTGAGATGGGTGTTTTAGATGCAGTCGGCACTAGGGTATGTGCGAAGTTGTATTACGAACTATGAAAATAGTAACCCCACTTGTAATATTTGATATGAAGGATATTAATCTTTACATTTTGCATTTAACGTAGAATGAATTGTTGCAGAAAGTGTTAAAGGTATATCAACCGGTCAATCTGGAAATGATTGGGAGAGGCCTATGTTCAGCAGTGGACGTCCTGTGACTGAAATGATGATGATGAATAAGAATACTTTATTCAGCATAGATGATGACGACACATCTACACTGAAAAAGATGTTTGGTTACAGCTTACACAAAAAAGTGACTGGCGAACTAAGTGTTAACTATAACCAAAGCAAGTCTAGGTCACTACATAATTATTTGTTTGATTTACACAATTTGTTCCTCATAACCAAAGTGTATGTGGAATGGAAT